AAACCCATTCGTCTTGTAGGGCACTGACGTCATTTCTTGCCACACATACATTACATAACCAGTGGCTTGGTAAGACGTTCAATTATTTTACCCTTACATACCCACTGTAACTACCGTACAATGAGTTATCCCCCCCCACTGTAACTACCCTACAATGAGTCTCCCCCCCTCCCCCCCCCCCCACTGTAACTACCCTACAATGAGTCTCCCCCCCCCCCCACCCCCACTGTAACTACCCTATATGAGTCTCCCCCCCCCCCTCCCCCACTGTAGCTACCCTACAATGAGTCTCCCCCCCCCACTGTAACTACCCTACAATGAGTCTCCCCCCCCACTGTAACTACACTGTAACTACCCTACAATGAGTCTCCCCCCCTCCCCCCCCCACTGTAACTACCCTACAATGAGTCTCCCCCCCTCCCCCCCCCCCCCCACTGTAACTACCCTACAATGAGTCTCCCCCCCCCACTGTAACTACCCTACAATGAGTCTCCCCCCCTCCCCCCCCCCACTGTAACTACCCTACAATGAGTCTCCCCCCCCCACTGTAACTACCCTACAATGAGTCTCCCCCCCCCCCACTATAACTACCCTACAATGAGTCTCCCCCCCCCACTGTAACTACCCTACAATGAGTCTCCCCCCCCCCCACTGTAACTACCCTACAATGAGTCTCCCCCCCCCATTGTAACTACCCTACAATGAGTCTCACCCCTCCCCCACTGTAACTACCCTACAATGAGTCTCCCCCCCCCCCACTATAACTACCCTACAATGAGTCTCCCCCCCCCCCCCCCACTGTAACTACCATACAATGAGTCTCCCTCCCCCACTGTAACTACCCTACAATGAGTCTCCCCCCCCCACTGTAACTACCCTACAATGAGTCTCACCCCTCCCCCACTGTAACTACCCTACAATGAGTCTCCCCCCCCCCCCCACTGTAACTACCCTACAATGAGTCTCACCCCTCCCCCACTGTAACTACCCTACAATGAGTCTCCCCCCTCCCCCTCCCCCACTGTAACTACCCTACAATGAGTCTCCCCCTCCCCCCCACTGTAACTACCCTACAATGAGTCTCCCCCCCCCCTCCCCACCAGACCTGGGACCAGGTCCGGCAGCACCAAGTACCACTGAGACAATGAATTCACTCTGCCCGTCCACTCGAGACGGATTTTTCGGAATGTGGACCGATATTTCGGAATGTGGACAAATCTTTAAACTTTTGGCATCCAGCAGCGTGCCTGCTGCTCGCCCAGTGAAGAGCTCTATCGAGCAGTACTCACTTTCATCAGTGTCGACACCTCTCGAGCCAATAATAGAACAACTCGAGTCCTGGGGAAACAGGTGAGGGGCACCCCCTCTCTTCCACAAGATCAAAGGCTGGTGCAACCCGCTCTCTTCCACACGATCAAAGGCTGGTGCAACCCCCTCTCTTCCACAAGATCAAAGGCTGGTGCAACCCGCTCTCTTCCACAAGATCAAAGGCTGGAGCAACCCACTCTCTTCCACAAGATCAAAGCCTGGTGCAACCCGCTCTCTTCCACAAGATCAAAGGCTGGTGCAACCCGCTCTCTTCCACAAGATCAAAGGCTGGTGCAACCCCCTCTCTTCCACAAGATCAAAGGCTGGTGCAACCCCCTCTCTTCCACAAGATCAAAGGCTGGTGCAACCCCCTCTCTTCCACAAGATCAAAGGCTGGTGCAACCCACTCTCTTCCACAAGATCAAAGCCTGGTGCAACCCGCTCTCTTCCACAAGATCAAAGGCTGGTGCAACCCGCTCTCTTCCACAAGATCAAAGGCTGGTGCAACCCCCTCTCTTCCACAAGATCAAAGGCTGGTGCAACCCGCTCTCTTCCACAAGATCAAAGGCTGGTGCAACCCGCTCTCTTCCACAAGATCAAAGGCTGGTGCAACCCCCTCTCTTCCACAAGATCAAAGGCTGGTGCAACCCCCTCTCTTCCACAAGATCAAAGGCTGGTGCAACCCCCTCTCTTCCACAAGATCAGAGGCTGGTGCAACCCCCTCTCTTCCACAAGATCAAAGGCTGGTGCAACCCCCTCTCTTCCACACGATCAAAGGCTGGTGTAACCCCCTCTCTTCCACAAGATCAAAGGCTGGTGCAACCCCCTCTCTTCCACACGATCAAAGGCTGGTGTAACCCCCTCTCTTCCACAAGATCAAAGGCTGGTGCAACCCCCTCTCTTCCACAAGATCAAAGGCTGGTGTAACCCCCTCTCTTCCACACGATCAAAGGCTGGTGTAACCCCCTCTCTTCCACAAGATCAAAGGCTGGTGCAACCCGCTCTCTTCCACAAGATCAAAGGCTGGTGCAACCCCCTCTCTTCCACACGATCAAAAGCTGGTGTAACCCCCTCTCTTCCACAAGATCAAAGGCTGGTGCAACCCCCTCTCTTCCACAAGATCAAAGGCTGGTGCAACCCCCTCTCTTCCACACGATCAAAGGCTGGTGTAACCCCCTCTCTTCCACAAGATCAAAGGCTGGTGTAACCCCCTCTCTTCCACACGATCAAAGGCTGGTGTAACCCCCTCTCTTCCACAAGATCAAAGGCTGGTGCAACCCGCTCTCTTCCACAAGATCAAAGGCTGGTGCAACCCCCTCTCTTCCACACGATCAAAGGCTGGTGTAACCCCCTCTCTTCCACACGATCAAAGGCTGGTGTAACCCCCTCTCTTCCACAAGATCAAAGGCTGGTGCAACCCCCTCTCTTCCACACGATCAAAGGCTGGTGTAACCCCCTCTCTTCCACACGATCAAAGGCTGGTGTAACCCCCTCTCTTCCACACGATCAAAGGCTGGTGCAACCCCCTCTCTTCCACACGATCAAAGGCTGGTGTAACCCCCTCTCTTCCACACGATCAAAGGCTGGTGTAACCCCCTCTCTTCCACACGATCAAAGGCTGGTGTAACCCCCTCTCTTCCACACGATCAAAGGCTGGTGTAACCCCCTCTCTTCCACACGATCAAAGGCTGGTGTAACCCCCTCTCTTCCACACGATCAAAGGCTGGTGTAACCCCCTCTCTTCCACACGATCAAAGGCTGGTGCAACCCCCTCTCTTCCACACGATCAAAGGCTGGTGTAACCCCCTCTCTTCCACACGATCAAAGGCTGGTGTAACCCCCTCTCTTCCACACGATCAAAGGCTGGTGTAACCCCCTCTCTTCCACACGATCAAAGGCTGGTGTAACCCCCTCTCTTCCACACGATCAAAGGCTGGTGTAACCCCCTCTCTTCCACAAGATCAAAGGCTGGTGTAACCCCCTCTCTTCCACAAGATCAAAGGCTGGTGCAACCCCCTCTCTTCCACAAGATCAAAGACTGGTGCAGACGTTAAAGGCCAATAATTTAAGTACACTTGGTAGTTGGCCAGAAACGTGTCATTAAACACCTACCCCAGCTATTGACCTGGCCAATAATTTAAGTACACTTGGTAGTTGGCCACAAACGTGTCATTAGTTGGCCACAAACGTCATTAAACACCTACCCCGGCCATTGATCTGGCCAATAATTTAAGTACACTTGGTAGTTGGCCACAAACGTGTCATTAGTTGGCCACAAACGTCATGAAACACCTACCCCAGCTATTGATCTGGCCACCTTAGAGACTGAATAGACTTCCGGCCAGCGAACGTTTCCCCCAAACGCCTCATTTCCTACCATCAGGCTTGTACAACAGTCAGCAAACATGGCTGGAGGAGATGGGCGGGGCCCGGGGGAGATCACTCGTAAAGCTCAGCTGTTGTTATTGTTTGAGTCAGGGCCCTTTATCCAGGAAATCTTTAGTCCTGTTTAGCGAGGGTGTATCTCCTTACCCGGCCAGTCGTAGCGGATAATAGGTGGATGGTGGTATGTGTTGTGATGGGTGGATGATGGTGGTATGTGTTGTGATGGGTGGATGATCGTGGTATGTGTTGTGATGGGTGGATGATGGTGGATGATGGTGGTATGTGTTGTGATGGGTGGATGATGGTGGTATGTGTTGTGATGGGTGGATGATGGTGGTATGTGTTGTGATGGGTGGATGATGGTGGTATGTGTTGTGATGGGTGGATGATGGTGGTATGTGTTGTGATGGGTGGATGGTGGTGGTATGTGTTGTGATGGGTGGATGATGGTGGTATGTGTTGTGATGGGTGGATGATGGTGGTATGTGTTGTGATGGGTGGATGATGGTGGTATGTGTTGTGATGGGTGGATGGTGGTGGTATGTGTTGTGATGGGTGGATGATGGTGGTATGTGTTGTGATGGGTGGATGATGGTGGTATGTGTTGTGATGGGTGGATGGTGGTGGTATGTGTTGTGATGGGTGGATGATGGTGGTATGTGTTGTGATGGGTGGATGGTGGTGGTATGTGTTGTGATGGGTGGATGGTGGTGGTATGTGTTGTGATGGGTGGATGGTGGTGGTATGTGTTGTGATGGGTGGATGGTGGTGGTATGTGTTGTGATGGGTGGATGGTGGTGGTATGTGTTGTGATGGGTGGATGATGGGTGGATGATGGTGGTATGTGTTGTGATGGGTGGATGATGGTGGATGATGGTGGTATGTGATGGCAGTACAACTTAAGCGCAGATACTTGCCAAGCCAGAAGTGACGAGTTCCGAGCCAGGGCTAGTGGGAACTGATCGTCTGACCAAACTACCCAATGTCCAATCCTGCTATCCTAAAGCCTGGCCAAACACCCACTTACATGGTGACTGACAAGAGAAATCAACGATTATTAAACTAGCACAGCTAGAGCCATAGTGAGCACAGCTAGAGACCTAGTGAGCACAGCTAGAGAGTGAGCACAGCTATAGACCTAGTGAGCACAGCTAGAGACCTAGTGAGCACAGCTAGAGACCTAGTGAGCACAGCTAGAGACCTAGTGAGCACAGCTAGAGACCTAGTGAGCACCTGTTGAGCCCTGATGACTGTGTAATACAGAAAGAATGACTAAGTTACCCAGCACACACAAGAAAAAGACTTGCTTATGGTGCAAAAATTTTATTTACAACTCACATTTTGTAGAACATCACAGAGTCGGATATTTGTACACTATTTTTTAGTTCAAAGGTCATACTCATCACAAGGTCATTTATTTATAGATGGCCATAACATAAAATTCTATTCCAAGCACAGCTAGTTACCAACACCAAAAAATAAAACAAGAACAAACTATGCCATTTTGTACACATCAACACACCAGGACTTACAGCATCAACACACCAGGACTTACAGCATCAACACACCAGGACTTACAGCATCAACACACCAGGACTTACAGCATCAACACACCAGGACTTACAGCATCAACACACCAGGACTTACAGCATCAACACACCAGGACTTACAGCATCAACACACCAGGACTTACAGCATCAACACACCAGGACTTACAACATCAACACACCAGGACTTACAGCATCAACACACCAGGACTTACAGCATCAACACACTTGGACTATCATCAGCCGATGGACCCACACATACAACAGGTAATGACCTACTACAGCTTGTTATCTACAGCTCTAAACTAACTCAGTCACAACAGACACATTTGGCAACCCAACAGTTTTTATGTGTGGACCAATTGATAACGTGTCTCAGTTGTCTAGAGACAAACTGGCAATGTTGGGTTCACTCCCTTCTTCAGCAACCTCACACCCCCCCCCCAACATACAGCCTACATCCCCCCAACATACAGCCTACACCCCTACATATTGCCTACACCCCATCTTGGTGCCTACATGATGCTAGTCTAGAGGTGGGGGTGCCTGTAACAAGTGGCCAGATAAACTTTTGCTGTTTTTAACTTTGTGAATGGCTGTCTGGAGATCAGACATGTTCATCTTGCGCAGTTCACTGGCGTCACCACCATCCCTGGGGGAGACAAATCAGTTGGGTCAATTAAGTGGGGCAGGGGGGGGGTATGTTGGTGGGGCAGGTTGTAGAGGTTAGGTCGGGGGGGGGGGGGGCATGTGGTGGGGGTAGGTTAGGGGGGCAGTTTGTAGAGGTTAGGTCGGGGGGGGGGCATGTGGTGGGGGTAGGTTAGGGGGGCAGTTTGTAGAGGTTAGGTCGGGGGGGGGGGGGCATGTGGTGGGGGTAGGTTAGGGGGGGGGGCAGGTTGTAGAGGGTAGGTTGGGGGGGAGGGCATGTGGTGGGGGTAGGTTAGGGGGGGGCAGGTTGTAGAGGGTAGGTTGGGGGGGGGGGCATGTGGTGGGGGTAGGTTAGGGGGGGGGGCAGGTTGTAGAGGGTAGGTTGGGGGGGAGGGCATGTGGTGGGGGTAGGTTAGGGGGGGGGGGCAGGTTGTAGAGGGTAGGTTGAGGGGAGGGCATGTGGTGGGGGTAGGTTAGGGGGGGCAGGTTGTAGAGGGTAGGTTGGGGGGGAGGGCATGTGGTGGGGGTAGGTTAGGGGGGGGGGCAGGTTGTAGAGGGTAGGTTGGGGGGGGGCAGGTGGTGGGGGTAGGTTAGGGGGGGGGGGCAGGTTGTAGAGGGTAGGTTGAGGGGAGGGCATGTGGTGGGGGTAGGTTAGGGGGGGCAGGTTGTAGAGGGTAGGTTGGGGGGGGGAGGGCATGTGGTGGGGGTAGGTTAGGGGGGGGCAGGTGGTGGGGGTAGGTTAGGGGGGGGGGGCAGGTTGTAGAGGGTAGGTTGGGGGGGGGGGGGCAGGTGGTGGGGGTAGGTTAGGGGGGGGGCAGGTTGTAGAGGGTAGGTTGGGGGGGGGCAGGTGGTGGGGGTAGGTTAGGGGGGGGGCAGGTTGTAGAGGGTAGGTTGGGGGGGGGGGCAGGTGGTGGGGGTAGGTTAGGGGGGGGGGGCAGGTTGTAGAGGGTAGGTTGGGGGGAGGGCATGTGGTGGGGGTAGGTTAGGGGGGGGCAGTTTGTAGGGGGTAGGTTTGGGGGGAGGTGGGGGGGACAGGTGGTGGGGGGGACAGGTGGGGGGACAACAGGTGGTGGGGGTAGGGGCAGGTGGTTTAATTAATCTTTTTAAAATTAACAAAAGATTTTTAATCTTGCACTAATACAAGGCCCTTACTCTCAGATATAAAAGATGTCATTAGCTTTGTTTCTATTTTTCTGTGCTCTATTTGTTGTTTACTCTTTATTATTAAACACTTTAAATTAATGTAATCGCACACCTTGTGTCATATACAAAGCCCTAAGATTTGACACCTCTCGGTACAAGCTTTCACAGATACTTCAAGAGTACTCAGGACTGACTAGCAGAGACTAGTCAGGCTTTTCTACAAATTATGGACAGTCTACGTTTTTAAATAGGATTATTTAAAGATTTATTTTAAATTGAAAGAATCCAAAGTAAAAAAAATTCATAAAAAAACGTTTTAATAACAAGCTTTTAAGTACTAATGCACTAAAAAGTAGAAAATAAATTATACACTACTATTAAATAACTATAAAGAAAAGCGTGGGTGTCTTCCTTAACATTAGTAAAGGTATCCAATAGATACTAAAGTGACCCACGCTTTTCTTTATAGTTATTTAATAGTAGTGTATAATTTATTTTCTACTTTTTAGTGCATTAGTACTTAAAAGCTTGTTATTAAAACGTTTTTTTATGAATTTTTTTTGAGTACTTTACATGTTTTATTTACAATAGAGTTACATGACTAAAAACCATTGCGCGCCTACTGAACGTGATGGCGCAGCCATTGAACCTGATTGCGCAGCTATTGAACGTGATGACGCGTGTGGTGTGGTTGGATAGACATCCCTACTAATTCGGTCCAAATATTAATTAATTTATAAAAAATTAATTAGGCATCCAATTAAGTCAAATTTAATTTCAGATTGCATGGCCTTCATGTCTTGACCCATGTGCCAACTTTGAATCGTATCGGTCAAGTAGAACTGTCAGAATTTTCGCTCCGGCGTTTCGCTCTAGACAGATAGACAGACAGACAGACAGACAGAGGAAGTGAGTTAAATAAAAGCTTGTAAAAAGGACTGACCGTGTGCTACTCTGAACAAACTCGTGGACAACAGAAACTGCTGCAGCACGACATGCCTCCCTGAGATCACTGCCTGACAAGCCCTCTGAGAGCTGACTCAATTGGCTGAAGTTCAAATCTTCTGTCTGAAAGTGGTCAGGGGGTTAGACAGGTGACACAGGTACAGACAGGTGTGTGGTACAGACAGGTGTGTGGTACAGACAGACAGGTGTATGGTACAGACAGGTGTATGGTACAGACAGGTGTATGGTACAGACAGGTGTATGGTACAGACAGGCAGGTGTATGGTACAGACAGACAGGTGTATGGTACAGACAAGTGTATGGTACAGACAGGTGTATGGTACAGACAGGTGTATGGTACAGACAGGTGTATGGTACAGACAGGTGTATGGTACAGACAGACTGGTGTATGGTACAGACAGGTGTATGGTACAGACAGACAGGTGTATGGTACAGACAGACAGGTGTATGGTACAGACAAGTGTATGGTACAGACAGGTGTATGGTACAGACAGGTGTATGGTACAGACAGGTGTATGGTACAGACAGGTGTATGGTACAGACAGACAGGTGTATGGTACAGACAGGTGTATGGTACAGACAGGTGTATGGTACAGACAGGTGTGTGGTACAGACAGGTGTATGGTACAGACAGGTGTGTGGTACAGACAGGTGTATGGTACAGACAGACAGGTGTATGGTACAGACAGGTGTATGGTACAGACAGACAGGTGTATGGTACAGACAGACAGGTGTATGGTACAGACAGGTGTATGGTACAGACAGGTGTGTGGTACAGACAGGTGTATGGTACAGACAGGTGAATGGTACAGACAGACAGGTGTATGGTACAGACAGGTGTATGGTACAGACAGACAGGTGTATGGTACAGACAGGTGTATGGTACAGACAGGTGTATGGTACAGACAGACAGGTGTATGGTACAGACAGACAGGTGTATGGTACAGACAGGTGTATGGTACAGACAGACAGGTGTATGGTACAGACAGGTGTATGGTACAGACAGACAGGTGTATGGTACAGACAGACAGGTGTATGGTACAGACAGACAGGTGTATGGTACAGACAGGTGTATGGTACAGACAGACAGGTGTATGGTACAGACAGACAGGTGTATGGTACAGACAGGTGTGTGGTACAGACAGGTGTGTGGTACAGACAGACAGGTGTATGGTACAGACAGACAGGTGTATGGTACAGACAGACAGGTGTATGGTACAGACAGGTGTATGGTACAGACAGGTGTGTGGTATAGACAGACAGGTGTATGGTACAGACAGGTGTGTGGTACAGACAGACAGGTGTATGGTACAGACAGGTGTGTGGTACAGACAGGTGTATGGTACAGACAGACAGGTGTATGGTACAGACAGGTGTGTGGTACAGACAGGTGTATGGTACAGACAGGTGTATGGTACAGACAGGTGTATGGTACAGACAGGTGTATGGTACAGACAGACAGGTGTATGGAAGGAATTTTTTTTTTAGAAAATGTGCAATTAATTCAGTTTATAAGTACAATCAATCAAAAGTTACCTCCTCATGTTCTAATATTAGCTCTAGTATAGCCTCTCTCTGATCCTTGTTCTGTAGAATAAGAGCTTGATTATGTTACATTGTGCTACCAAACCAAACATGTGACACAATAAGCATACACAATAAGAGTAAACGATAAGAGTACAAAATGAGAGTACACATTGAGCTTACACAATAAGCATACACAACAGAAAGACAAACACGCATGTTAATCCATTTCTACACTAACAATACAATTAAACTTACACCTGCATTTAACTCACTGATCTTACTTACTTACTTAAACATAATAGTGACAGAACTTAACTAACATAATAGTGACATAACTTACTGGCATACCAACGTAGAACTGACTGGGCATACGGCGTAGAATGGCAGCATCAACATCCTGTGGCCTGTTGGTGGCGCCCATGACCATAACGCGGACAGTGGGATCAGTGGTCAGTCCATCCCACAGACTCATGAACTGGGTCTTCATCATGGCCGTGGCTTCATGGTCAGTGGAGGACCTGGACCTCAGGAAGGAATCTGGGGAGCACAACCATAAGGTGAGTCAGTCAGCACAACCATAAGGTGAGTCAGCACAACCATAAGGTGAGTCAGTCAGCACAACCATAAGGTGAGTCAGCACAACCATAAGGTGAGTCAGTCAGCACAACCATAAGGTGAGTCAGTCAGCACAACCATAAGGTGAGTCAGTCAGCACAACCATAAGGTGAGTCAGCACAACCATAAGGTGAGTCAGTCAGCACAACCATAAGGTGAGTCAGCACAACCATAAGGTGAGTCAGTCAGCACAACCATAAGGTGAGTCAGTCAGCACAACCATAAGGTGAGTCAGTCAGCACAACCATAAGGTGAGTCAGCACAACCATAAGGTGAGTCAGTCAGCACAACCATAAGGTGAGTCAGTCAGCACAACCATAAGGTGAGTCAGTCAGCACAACCATAAGGTGAGTCAGTCAGCACAACCATAAGGTGAGTCAGCACAACCATAAGGTGAGTCAGCACAACCATAAGGTGAGTCAGTCAGCACAACCATAAGGTGAGTCAGCACAACCATAAGGTGAGTCAGTCAGCACAACCATAAGGTGAGTCAGTCAGCACAACCATAAGGTGAGTCAGTCAGCACAACCATAAGGTGAGTCAGCACAACCATAAGGTGAGTCAGTCAGCACAACCATAAGGTGAGTCAGCACAACCATAAGGTGAGTCAGTCAGCACAACCATAAGGTGAGTCAGCACAACCATAAGGTGAGTCAGTCAGCACAACCATAAGGTGAGTCAGTCAGCACAACCATAAGGTGAGTCAGTCAGCACAACCATAAGGTGAGTCAGCACAACCATAAGGTGAGTCAGTCAGCACAACCACAAGGTGAGTCAGTCAGCACAACCATAAGGTGAGTCAGTCAGCACAACCATAAGGTGAGTCAGTCAGCACAACCATAAGGTGAGTCAGCACAACCATAAGGTGTCAGTCAGCACAACCATAAGGTGAGTCAGCACAACCATAAGGTGAGTCAGTCAGCACAACCATAAGGTGAGTCAGTCAGCACAACCATAAGGTGAGTCAGTCAGCACAACCATAAGGTGAGTCAGCACAACCATAAGGTGAGTCAGTCAGCACAACCATAAGGTGAGTCAGTCAGCACAACCATAAGGTGAGTCAGCACAACCATAAGGTGAGTCAGCACAACCATAAGGTGAGTCAGTCAGCACAACCATAAGGTGAGTCAGCACAACCATAAGGTGAGTCAGTCAGCACAACCACAAGGTGAGTCAGTAAGCACAACCATAAGGTGAGTCAGCACAACCATAAGGTGAGTCAGTCAGCACAACCATAAGGTGAGTCAGTCAGCACAACCATAAGGTGAGTCAGTCAGCACAACCACAAGGTGAGTCAGCACAACCACAAGGTGAGTCAGTCAGCACAACCATAAGGTGAGTCAGTCAGCACAACCATAAGGTGAGTCAGCACAACCATAAGGTGAGTCAGTCAGCACAACCATAAGGTGAGTCAGCACAACCATAAGGTGAGTCAGTCAGCACAACCATAAGGTGAGTCAGCACAACCATAAGGTGAGTCAGCACAACCATACGGTGAGTCAGTCAGCACAACCATAAGGTGAGTCAGTCAGCACAACCATAAGGTGAGTCAGTCAGCACAACCATAAGGTGAGTCAGTCAGCACAACTATAAGGTGAGTCAGTCAGCACAACCATAAGGTGAGTCAGTCAGCACAACCACAAGGTGAGTCAGTCAGCACAACCACAAGGTGAGTCAGTCAGCACAACCATAAGGTGAGTCAGTCAGCACAACCATAAGGTGAGTCAGTCAGCACAACCATAAGGTGAGTCAGTCAGCACAACCATAAGGTGAGTCAGTCAGCACAACCATAAGGTGAGTCAGTCAGCACAACCATAAGGTGAGTCAGCACAACCATAAGGTGAGTCAGCACAACCACAAGGTGAGTCAGCACAACAACAAGGTGAGTCAGTACAACCATAAGGTGAGTCAGCACAACCACAAGGTGAGTCAGCACAACAACAAGGTGAGTCAGTACAACCATAAGGTGAGTCAGCACAACCATAAGGTGAGTCAGTCAGCACAACTATAAGGTGAGTCAGCACAACCATAAGGTGAGTCAGTCAGCACAACCATAAGGTGAGTCAGCACAACCATAAGGTGAGTCAGTCAGCACAACCATAAGGTGAGTCAGCACAACCACAAGGTGAGTCAGCACAACAACAAGGTGAGTCAGCACAACCATAAGGTGAGTCAGCACAACCATAAGGTGAGTCAGTCAGCACAACCACAAGGTGAGTCAGCACAACCATAAGGTGAGTCAGTCAGCACAACAACAAGGTGAGTCAGCACAACCATAAGGTGAGCCAGCACACCAAAACTAAAAAACAAAGACCTACCAATTTAACAAGGGTAAAACTAAAAACAAAGACCTACCAATTTAACAAGGGTAAAACTAAAAACAAAGACCTACCAATTTAACAAGGGTAAAACTAAAAAACAAAGACCTACCAATTTAACAAGGGTAAAACTAAAAACTAAGACCTACCAATTTAACAAGGGTAAAACTAAAAACTAAGACCTACCAATTTAACAAGGGTAAAACTAAAAACTAAGACCTACCAATTTAACAAGGGTAAAACTAAAAACTAAGACCTACCAATTTAACAAGGGTAAAACTAAAAACTAAGACCTACCAATTTAACAAGGGTAAAACTAAAAACTAAGACCTACCAATTTAACAAGGGTAAAACTAAAAACTAAGACCTACCAATTTAACAAGGGTAAAACTAAAAACTAAGACCTACCAATTTAACAAGGGTAAAACTAAAAACTAAGACCTACCGATTTAACAAGGGTAAAACTAAAAAGTAAGACCTACCAATTTAACAAGGGTAAAACTAAAAACTAAGACCTACTAATTTAACAAGGGTAAAACTAAAAACTAAGACCTACCAATTTAACAAGGGTAAAACTAAAAACTAAGACCTACCAATTTAACAAGGGTAAAACTAAAAACAAAGACCTACCAATTTAACAAGCGTAAAACTAAAAACAAAGACCTACCAATTTAACAAGGGTAAAACTAAAAACTAAGACCTACCAATTTAACAAGGGTAAAACTAAAAACTAAGACCTACCAATTTAACAAGGGTAAAACTAAAAACTAAGACCTACCAATTTAACAAGCGTAAAACTAAAAACAAAGACCTACCAATTTAACAAGGGTAAAACTAAAAAACAAAGACCTACCAATTTAACAAGGGTAAAACTAAAAACTAAGACCTACCAATTTAACAAGGGTAAAACTAAAAACTAAGACCTACCAATTTAACAAGCGTAAAACTAAAAACAAAGACCTACCAATTTAACAAGGGTAAAACTAAAAACTAAGACCTACCAATTTAACAAGCGTAAAACTAAAAACAAAGACCTACCAATTTAACAAGCGTAAAACTAAAAACTAAGACCTACCAATTTAACAAGCGTAAAACTAAAAACTAAGACCTACCAATTTAACAAGCGTAAAACTAAAAAACAAAGACCTACCAATTTAACAAGCGTAAAACTAAAAAACAAAGACCTACCAATTTAACAAGCGTAAAACTAAAAAACAAAGACCTACCAATTTAACAAGGGTAAAACTAAAAACTAAGACCTACCAATTTAACAAGCGTAAAACTAAAAAACAAAGACCTACCAATTTAACAAGCGTAAAACTAAAAAACAAAGACCTACCAATTTAACAAGCGTAAAACTAAAAAACTAAGACCTACCAATGGACACAACCGAGAATAGCCTATAAGTTATTCAAGAGGCCCTTTAAATATTTTAAAATCATGCACAGGGTAATTAAAGTCAATATAAAATCCTGAATGTTAGGTTTTTTTTGGACAATAAAAAAGAGTGGATGTATTTGACGTTTTAGTATTTTGGTAATTAAACACTATTTTAAAAAAAGGCAAAAGCAGTTTGGTTTAACGTGGTAATGGTGACATCCTGCTATTCGATAGGCTAGCAGAAATTTTATTATACAAAATGTAAAGCAAAAATAACAGAACTAAGTCTTGTGGTTTAAAATAACATTATGTTATTTAAAAACTTTTATTATAAATAGAAATGTAGCCTTAAATTTAAAAAAATATTTTCAAGTTCTCTGGATTTGCAACTTTTATAACATTGCTTCTAAAAAATATTAAATAATTATTTTTAGGCTCAAGTTTGTAGCTATTATTATTTTTATGGCCACTATGAAGTAAAAATATATAAAAAAATTTTTTTATCCATGTCAGCATTATGATAGAAGGATTCTTGTCAACTTGCTGGTGTCCATTTAAAAGGGTAAGCTAAAAAAAAACCTATTAATTTAACAAGGGTAACTAAAAAAAAAAAATTAACAACTTAATAAGGGTAAAAAACAAACAGAACCTACCAATTTCATCAATGAAGATTATTGTTGGTTGAAGTTTGATAGCCTGGATGGAGGAAAGGGAAGTAAGCAAGTATCACATAGAGTTTTAAACATGAATAGTAACTTTTGGCTTTCCCAGTCAATTTTGATGCTGGTATTGACACAATCTCACCCCCCTCCCCCCTCCACACATCCTCTAACAGTGACACAGACACAAAGACAGCTTTAGTCTAGTCCCACAGGCTACATTGTGTGACACAAACATTGGTTATAACTACACTGGATTATGTTACATTGTGCTACCAAACCAAACATGTGACACAAACATTGGTTACAACTGCACTGGATTATGTTACATTGTGCTACCAAACCAAACATGTGACACAAACATTGGTTACAACTACACTGGATTATGTTACATTGTGCTACCAAACCAAACATGTGACACAAACATTGGTAACAACTACGCTGGATTATGTTACATTGTGCTACCAAACCAAACATGTGACACAAACATTGGTTACAACTACGCTGGATTATGTTACATTGTGCTACCAAACCAAACATGTGACACAAACATTGGTTACAACTACACTGGATTATGTTACATTGTGCTACCAAACCAAACATGTGACAAACATTGGTAACAACTACGCTGGATTATGTTACATTGTGCTACCAAACAAAACATGTGACACAAACATTGGTAACAACTACACTGGATTATGTTACATTGTGCTACCAAACTAAACAAGGGACACATGTTCCACCAAAAAGTTGTCTAGCAACAACTAGCCACAGGTCAAGAACTAACCAAAGAGAAGACGGCCTCTGCTCTCTTCTGAGACTCTCCATACCACTTGTCCACCAGAGTTGATACTTGCAAGTTGATAAAACGTGCACCTGTTGATTGTTGAAACCACAGGTTAAAATACATTCAGCAGGGGTTGTGAAAAGCATTTTATGTTAGTATCTTAAAGGTGGTGATATTATATCAGTAGTGGGTTGTACAAGATTTGTATGGTGATATTATATCATGTTGCAGACCAGGACTACGATGTTGCCGTCCGGTTGCTTAGTCGCCGGCCGAATACGTTGCTGACACTGGCTCGGGCACTAGCCAATAAGGCCGTCGTTGTCTAGGGGTATTTAATTATTCTACCCGAGTCAGCTACAGTGAAGTAATCAACGGAACAGGAGACCTTCTTAGTTTATGCTGTTTATTAATGTGCTGAATGCCTGTTCTGCTGAGCGAGGCTTCCCCTAACCGCTAACGTCGGGAGCGCTTGTGCGAGAGAGAGAGAGAGACTAACTAACCTGCCTGTATTTATACCCCTGTCTTAACCCCCTAGCTGTTCCCACGGGACAATGAGCTCAGAACATGTGACCTAACAAATTATCCCCCCTGGCGCTAACAACCCTGGCTACTGGTCAGTATAAAGACTACTATTGTCCTGTCAGAGCGGTCAGTCTCCTTTGAACGTGTCACCTACTGTCCATCCCTACTGTGTACCCTGTAATTATCTAGTGAATAGGTGTTTGTGGAATTCTGACCTAACATACTCCCCCATACCCAGAGCAAATTGGGCTTTGCACTATTTGCCTAAAACTAGATACTAAACTACTATTTTAACTTTTGCCTTCGCCCAGCAGATGATATATACATATAACTAAAATGTGTATACATACATTACAATATACATAATAATATATAATGCATATATAGGAAAAAAATATTAAAGAAAACAAACAAAACAAGCAAAGCTTAAAACATAATCTACAACAGCAATTAGCACATTTGATGAAAAATTTAAAAAAAAAAAGAAATATATAGTCTATATATATATATGTTGCAACCAACGTTCAATAGCTCATGCACCCACTCATTCACGCAAAATTTAACTTTTTGGAGCCAAGTAGAACAATTATAAAATTTCAAGTGTGCTTGCATGCTTTTTGTTTCTATTGCTATTAGTGATAACACATAGCGAGTCTAGCACTCACGCTTTCAAAATCCACCCCCTAGTACTCATTCTCTCTATTCCCTTGATAGCATGTCCGCTACTATATTATCTTTTCCTGGTATATGCTCTATAGTAAACTTAAATTCTTGTAACAATAGAGACCATCGAGTTAATCTAGAGTTGCTGTAACTACAGTTATTTAAATACTTCAAAGCTCGTTGGTCCGTTTGGAGTGTAAAGTGTACGTTGTTTAAGTACAGTGCTAACTTCCCCACTGCCCAGATAATGGCCAAACATTCCCTCTCAATTGTTGAGTACCTCGTCTCACGCGGTAGCAACTTCCTGCTGACATATTTGACGGGCCGCAGCACCCCCTCTTTAGCCTGCAGTAGCACTGCGCCGATGCCGCGTGCTGAGGCGTCCGTCCTGAGTATGAACGGTTGGGTAATATCGGGCAGGACAAGGACAGGCTCTGAGTTTAAGTGCTCCTGTATCAGCCCAAGAGCCCTGTTGCACTCCTCTGTCCAAGCAACTCTCTCTGGTTTATCCCCCGCCAAAAGATTAGTCAATACACCCTTAAGATTGCTAAAGTTGGGGATAAATGTAGACTTTTCTGAGGTGCCATTACTCCACTTCCCCCTATATGACCAAGGAAACTTACCTGCTCAAATCCTAGTTCTACGTTTGACGGTTTTGTCATAATACTCTTTGTATTTTTCTTTACTCATTTCTGTAATTCTCGTGGCGTACCTACACGCAGACTGTAATTTTTGTTTTAAGTCAAGTAGGTGGTCGTATGCTAACCCAGTCTTACAGTCTCTAGTTCCTTCGCCTGTAAAAATGGACTTAAGTATGTTCATAGGTCCCCTAACTTTTCTACCGAACATGAGTTCGAAGGGTGAATAGCCAGTGATTTCATTTGGGACTTCCCTATAGGCGAACAGAGCTGCCGGTATAAATTCGTCCCAGTCTTCCTGTCTATCTGCTGTGATTTTTCTCAGCATTTCCTTGAAAGTACCATTCCATCTTTCAACTGCCCCATTTGACATGGCATGGTACGCTGATGAATGCACCAGTTTAATACCTAGCAGCTTCGAAACCTTGTTGAAAATTTCTGACGTAATTCGGGACCCATTATCTGACAAGATAACTTCAGGGAATCCCATTCTAGTAAAAATTGAGACCAGAGCATCTTGAACCTCAGATGCAGTTATACTTTTGAGAGGTACCGCTTCAGGCCATCTTGTACATAGATCTATAGCCGTTAGGATAAACCCATTTCTCTTCTTTGTAAGCTTTAAAGGTCCTACAATATCAATGGCTAACTTGTCAAATGGTTGTCCAACCACTTGTGATTTACCTAGCGGCGCTTTATTGCCGATGTTCTTCTTGCCTTTCTGGCATGTGTCACAACTGTAGCAGTACTTTCTTATGTCTCCAGCTGCGCCTGGCCATCTAAACTCTGAGAAGATCCGGGCTTTTGTTCTAGCCAACCCCATGTGGCCGGCCATGGGGGTGTCGTGGCCTAGTTTTAACACAGTATCTCTAAGTGCTGATGGAATGACTAAACGAATTTGATCTTCCCCTCTAATGTGTCCGACGGCTTTGAACAACAAGCCGTCTACAATTGTGTACTTCTTATCGCCCTTTTTTGCAGACTTCCACCAATTTTTGAGGGTATCATCGTTGGACTGTTGTTTCCTAAATTCTTCAGCCGATACAGTTTTGCCTAGGATGTTATAAGTTTGTTTCCCATCTAGTTTGTTCTTATTTCTGGCTTGCCCTCTTGTTTCTACAGCAGCGATAATACCAAGGTCTTCGTTAGATGGAGGCTTGGCTCCCCCTACATTGCCGACTATAAGGTCTGCAGGGGGGTCATCTAAAAGGACGGCTAGAAACTCTCCAGTAAGATAAGGAGTTTCAATGCTCACCAACGCTCTAGGCACTCTCTTGCTGTCACCGTTGGCTGTCTTAATCGTCATCCTACCACGATTCCACCTACTTCTGTCCACTAACTGTTTTCTACACGCTATGACTACAGAGCCTGTGTCGCGCAAAACAGTAACTGTCTGATTGTCTAATTTTCCAGAGACGATAGGTAGTTTTCCCTTAAAACGTTTTTCCCACTGATCGCTAACTATGTTCCCTATTGGCAAGGTAAATTTCATTTGGTTGATACACTGTTCACAATCTTCGCACTCTCCACTAAACTCGGGGACTAGTCATCTTTCTTTGTTTCTAAAACTGACCTTCTTCTGTTTGTTTCTGCTCTTATCCACCTTAGGTGATTTATTACGCCCCTGTCGTTGTGTCCGTTCGGTATCAACATTACAATCAGCTGCTATATGGCCCCTTAAGCCGCATGAAAAACATTTAGTTTGTGGTCGAGGCGAGTTGTTATAAGTCCGAGTAGTTTGTCGAGATGGACCCGGTGACTGGACATAACTATCACTGTCTGAGTCAGAATTCTGTCTATGTTTTGTGAATTGTGATCGACGAGGACCAGAGTTGTCCCTAGGATGGTGTCTGTATTGCGGTGATTTCGAGCTATGTGTGTTGTGTCTATAGCTGTGTCTGAAGTGCGGTGAATTTGATCTACTAAGACGTCGGTCATCTTTTAAGACTGATTGCATTGATTCTGCTATGGTAGCTATAAGCTCTGTCGGTGCATCTGGTGAGTCGCCTAGCTGTTTCGTCGGAAATATAGCGAAATAGTTGTCACACTGTTTCTCCACCTCGTCAACAGTCCTAGGGTTATGTACTAGAATGTGTTGTCTGATATCTTCACTTACTGTCCTTAAGATTTTATCTTTAAGAATCAGATCAAACAGACCGTCATAAGTTTTCTCTATCCCGCTTAGTTCGACCCATCTCTTCAAATAATGTCTAGTTCTCCTAATGTAGCTTCCTGGTTTGTCCTCAGAGTTGGGTTTGGATGAGTTAAACCTATTGCTGTAGCCTGACTCTGTCAGCCCAAAATGTTTCAGAACTTCTCGTTTTAATTTGGTGTAGTCTTCTTCTGCTCCTAGCTCAGTTAACCAGGCATCACAGCCTCTGTCTAACAGGACTTTCCTGAACTCATGGCACCAATATCTATGATCTAACCCTACCTCTCTAGCTTCTCTTTCAAAAATATCTATCACTACTTCCATGTCCATTGGACCACCGTTACTTTTTAAACCAATCAGCTTGAGACGTGGGACATATGATTTTGTTTGTTCAACTACCCGTTGGTTACACAAACTTTGTTGCTCCAGTTCGAGGGTTTTTAATTTAACCATTTCTTCTGATTCTATTCTCAGTTTTTCTAAATCTCTCTTAGCCTCTCGTTCGGCTAACTCTATCTTTAGTTTTGTTTCCTCTCTATGTTTTTCTTCTGCTTCTGCTAGTTTATTTTCAGCCCACTCTAATAGTTTACTCCCTTGGCAAATTTTATACTTCTGACCCAATGCCAAGTAATAGCCAAGCGACAATTTATCTTCACCGCTCATTGTCACAGTCACGGTGGGCGTGTCGGGTAGTTTCTATTGGTCGAAATGAAAGACGAACAATGTCAAGTAGTGGTCAGTGAAAGCCCAGGCACGCAACTAGGCGGAAGGGTTAATTGCGGTCCGTGTAGCGTGACCAGCGGGGGTGTACGTCTGACACGTCTTATTCAAATGTACGACCTATTGTAACTACAGCGGTTAAGGTTACGCCCACTACAACGCTAGCAGGTAACAACTGTTTGTGACGCTTACGCCGAGACTGCCGTGTATGCTTTATGTTAACGAAAAATTCCCAACTAGCCTACCTAGAAACCCCAGTAATGGCAACTCAGGAAGTTTACTTAACCTCTACGACTATAGAGAATTTCACGCGGGTATATCTAACCCCAATGGTAGAAGAAAACCAGAGTAAGTTGCTTGCCGAGAGCACCGCACGAGGGCTGATACAAAAGGCACTTACCCCAGAGTGTGATTGTAGGTCAGGAGTGCTGGTCCAATATATCAGCAGGCTGCTGCACCTTCACACGCTCACACACAAAATACACTTGGCTTCTGGGTTGGTAGACTAAAGGACATCAACGATGAGTTCGGTGGACATCAGCGTAGTCTTCACACGGCTCACTTCGTGACTTGCTAGACTCTGGCCAAGGAACACTTCGTATGGGAACGTTGTTTACGGACGTCTGTTGCAGGAACAGCTTCTAACACGGATAGCGTCTTGCGGGAACGGTTGTTACGGGAGCTCGTTGCACAGTACAGTTTAGTTTACAGGAACATCCGATACAGGAGCAGCTGGTACCAGAACAGTTTCGTACAGGATAGCTTGATACGAGGGCAGTAACAGTTCTTGCAGGAACAGCTTCTTACTGGAACAGCTTCTTACTGGTACAGCTTCTTACAGGAACAGCTTCTTACAGGAACAGCTTCTTACAGGAACAGCTTCTTACTGGTACAGCTTCTTACAGGAACAGCTTCTTACTGGTACAGCTTCTTACAGGAACAGCTTCTTACAGGAACAGCTTCTTACAGGAACAGCTTCTTACAGGAACAGCTTCTTACTGGTACAGCTTCTTACAGGAACAGCTTCTTACAGGAACAGCTTCTTACTGGTACAGCTTCTTACAGGAACAGCTTCTTACAGGAACAGTTGCAATAGCGACAACTTGTGCAGGAAAAATATCATGCGGGAAGCTTCGATCTTGTGAGAGGCCCTTATGTCCGATAGGACGAGTCCCCAGATGTTGCAGACCAGGACTACGATGTTGCCGTCCGGTTGCTTAGTCGCCGGCCGAATACGTTGCTGACACTGGCTCGGGCACTAGCCAATAAGGCCGTCGTTGTCTAGGGGTATTTAATTATTCTACCCGAGTCAGCTACAGTGAAGTAATCAACGGAACAGGAGACCTTCTTAGTTTATGCTGTTTATTAATGTGCTGAATGCCTGTTCTGCTGAGCGAGGCTTCCCCTAACCGCTAACGTCGGGAGCGCTTGTGCGAGAGAGAGAGAGAGACTAACTAACCTGCCTGTATTTATACCCCTGTCTTAACCCCCTAGCTGTTCCCACGGGACAATGAGCTCAGAACATGTGACCTAACAAATTATCCCCCCTGGCGCTAACAACCCTGGCTACTGGTCAGTATAAAGACTACTATTGTCCTGTCAGAGCGGTCAGTCTCCTTTGAACGTGTCACCTACTGTCCATCCCTACTGTGTACCCTGTAATTATCTAGTGAATAGGTGTTTGTGGAATTCTGACCTAACATATCAGTAGTGGGTTGTACAAGATATATGAAATTTCATCAACCTAGCTGTAACGGTACTCAAGTTATCATGTTTACACACACACAGACAGACACACAGACATACGGACAAGATTGCAAAATTATGTTTTTCCGTATCAGTGAGATGTAAAACGTCGAGATTTGTAAAAAATCTAGATTTTTTTTTTGCACGATTACAATACTTTCTCTATACTTCGTATATACGAGAAAGTAAAAAGTGTAAATAAAGTATTATTTTTAATTAATTAAAAATAAATGTTTTTATAACTATAATGGTTAAAGCATTGGTCACCTTTACAATACATTGAGCTTATAAAAACCTTTCAACACTGGTTATTATATATCCCCTTACCAAACAGTTTTTGTATTGGAAAAGTTGTACAAGTATTACAGTCTGTGCTTGTGGGCTATACTATATTAACAATCAAAACATTCATAAGTCGTAAGGTTCATAACAGCTAATTCAGTTTACGTTATTGTCTGCAACTAATTATGCAACTAGATGGCTTGTGATGGTAAGGAGCTGATAGATGACCTGTAATGGTAAGGAGCTGATAGATGGCTTGTGATGGTAAGGAGCTGATAGATGGCTTGTGATTGTAAGGAGCTGATAGATGGCTTGTGATGGTAAGGAGCTGATAGATGGCTTGTGATGGTAAGGAGCTGATAGATGGCTTGTGATGGTAAGGAGCTGATAGATGGCTTGAGATTACCTGCTGCCTTGGCTGTTGCTTTAGCTATCATGGTCTTCCCACAGCCTGGGGGGCCATACAACAGAATACCTGCAGCAAAGGTCAAGGTTAGCAAGGTCAGGGTTAGCAAGTCTTACAACATTCTAAAATAACAAATTATGACTGGAACATGGATTGTCCAGACACACTATTTCATGTAGATAAATTGAATGACAGGCATTTCCCAAAGGAATAATTCACTCCAAGTGGTGGTGGTGTGTGGGAATAGATACATAAATGTGTATGTAGACCATAAGTGTATGTCCCATGCCCTAGGTGGCTGAAGTAGACCATATGAGTATGTCCCATGTCCTACCTTTAGGTGGCTGAAGTAGACTAGAGTTTCTAAACAAATCAGCTCTTTTAAACGGCAAGATGACAGTCTCCTGTATTTCTTCTATCGTACTGTCCAACCCCCCAATGCTGTCCCATGTGATGTCCATAACCCTGGGGTCAAGCAAGTTGGCTGCCACACACAACTCATAGTCTGTTAGCTGGGGATGGGAACATCATGTGTTAGCTGGGGATGGGAACATCATGTGTTAGCTGGGGATGGGAACATCATGTGTTAGCTGGGGATGGGAACATCATGTGTTAGCTGGGGATGGGAACATCATGTGTTAGCTGGGGATGGGAACATCATGTGTTAGCTGGGGATGGGAACATCATGTGTTAGCTGGGGATGGGAACATCATGTGTTAGCTGGGGATGGGAACATCATGTGTTAGATGGGGATGGGAACATCATGTGTTAGCTGGGGATGGGAACATCATGTGTTAGCTGGGGATGGGAACATCATGTGTTAGCTGGGGATGGGAACATCATGTGTTAGCTGGGGTGGGAACATCATTTGTTAGATGGGGTGGGAACATCATTTGTTAGATGGGGTGGGAACATCATTTGTTAGATGGGGTGGGGACATCATTTGTTAGATGGGGTGGGGACATCATTTGTTAGATGGGGTGGGAACATCATTTGTTTTAGCTGGGGATGGGAACATCATTTGTTAGATGGGGTGGGGACATCATTTGTTAGATGGGGTGGGAACATCATTTGTTAGATGGGGTGGGAACATCATTTGTTAGATGGGGTGGGGACATCATTTGTTAGATGGGGTGGGGACATCATTTGTTAGATGGGGTGGGAACATCATTTGTTTTAGCTGGGGATGGGAACATCATTTGTTAGATGGGGTGGGGACATCATTTGTTAGATGGGGTGGGAACATCATTTGTTTTAGCTGGGGGTGGGAACATCATTTGTTTTAGCTGGGGGTGGGAACATCATTTGTTAGATGGGGTGGGGACATCATTTGTTAGATGGGGTGGGAACATCATTTGTGAGATGGGGTGGGGACATCATTTGTTAGATGGGGTGGGAACATCATTTGTTTTAGCTGGGGGTGGGAACATCATTTGTTTTAGCTGGGGGTGGGAACATCATTTGTTAGCTGGGGATGGGAACATCATGTGTTAGCTGGGGGTGGGGACATCATTTGTTAGCTGGGGATGGGAACATCATTTGTGAGATGGGGTGGGGACATCATTTGTTAGCTGGGGGTGGGAACATCATTTGTTAGCTGGGGGTGGGAACATCATTTGTTAGCTGGGGGTGGGAACATCATGTGTTAGCTGGGGGTGGGGACATCATTTGTTAGCTGGGGGTGGGAACATCATGTGTTAGCTGGGGATGGGAACATCATGTGTTAGCTGGGGATGGGAACATCATGTGTTAGCTGGGGATGGGAACATCATGTGTTAGCTGGGGGTGGGAACATCATGTGTTAGCTGGGGATGGGAACATCATGTGTTAGCTGGGGATGGGAACATCATGTGTTAGCTGGGGATGGGAACATCATGTGTTAGCTGGGGATGGGAACATCATGTGTTAGCTGGGGGTGGGAACATCATTTGTGAGATGGGGTGGGGACATCATTTGTTAGCTGGGGGTGGGAACATCATTTGTTAGCTGGGGGTGGGAACATCATTTGTTAGCTGGGGGTGGGAACATCATGTGTTAGCTGGGGGTGGGGACATCATTTGTTAGCTGGGGGTGGGAACATCATGTGTTAGCTGGGGATGGGAACATCATGTGTTAGCTGGGGATGGGAACATCATGTGTTAGCTGGGGGTGGGAACATCATGTGTTAGCTGGGGATGGGAACATCATGTGTTAGCTGGGGATGGGAACATCATGTGTTAGCTGGGGGTGGGAACATCATGTGTTAGCTGGGGATGGGAACATCATGTGTTAGCTGGGGATGGGAACATCATGTGTTAGCTGGGGATGGGAACATCATGTGTTAGCTGGGGATGGGAACATCATGTGTTAGCTGGGGGTGGGAACATCAAATATTAGCTGGGGGTGGGAACATCATGTGTTAGCTGGGGGTGGGAACATCATTTGTTTTAGCTGGGGATGGGAACATCATTTGTTTTAGCTGGGGGTGGGAACATCATTTGTTAGCTGGGGGTGGGAACATCATTTGTTTTAGCTGGGGGTGGGAACATCATTTGTTTTAGCTGGGGGTGGGAACATCATTTGTTAGATGGGGTGGGGACATCATTTGTTAGATGGGGTGGGAACATCATTTGTTTTAGCTGGGGATGGGAACATCATTTGTTAGCTGGGGGTGGGAACATCATTTGTTAGATGAAGGGGTGGGGACATCATTTGTTAGATGAAGGGGTGGGGACATCATTTGTGAGATGAGGGGGTGGGGACAACTATAGGCCAGGGGTAGAACTAGTTAAAAGGTAGATTGTGGCTATTGAGTCAATAAATTTTACCTTGCCAGAAAGAACTAGTTAACAGGTAGATTGTGGCTATTGAGTCAATAAATTTTACCTTGCCAGAAAGAACTAGTTAACAGGTAGATTGTGGCTATTGAGTCAATAAATTTTACCTTGCCAGAAAGAACTAGTTAACAGGTAGATTAAGGCTATTGAGTCAATAAATTTTACCTTGCCAGAAAGAACTAGTTAACAGGTAGATTGTGGCTATTGAGTCAATAAATTTTACCTTGCCAGAAAGAACTAGTTAACAGGTAGATTGTGACTATTGAGTCAATACATTTTACCTGGCCAGAAAGAACTAGTTAACAGGTAGATTGTGGCTATTGAGTCAATAAATTTTACCTTGCCAGAAAGAACTAGTTAACAGGTAGATTGTGGCTATTGAGTCAATAAATTTTACCTGGCCAGAAAGAACTAGTTAACAGGTAGATTGTGGCTATTGAGTCAATAAATTTTACCTGGCCAGAAAGAACTAGTTAACAGGTAGATTGTGGCTATTGAGTCCATAAATTTTACCTGGCCAGAAAGAACTAGTTAAAAGGTAGATTGTGGCTATTGAGTCAATAAATTTTACCTTGCTAGAAAGAACTAGTTAAAAGGTAGATTGTGGCTATTGAGTCAATAAATTTTACCTGGCCAGAAAGAACTAGTTAAAAGGTAGATTGTGGCTATTGAGTCAATAAATTTTACCTGGCCAGAAAGAACTAGTTAAAAGGTAGATTGTGGCTATTGAGTCAATAAATTTTACCTTGCTAGAAAGAACTAGTTAAAAGGTAGATTGTGGCTATTGAGTCAATAAATTTTACCTGGCCAGAAAGAACTAGTTAACAGGTAGATTGTGGCTATTGAGTCAATAAATTTTACCTGGCCAGAAAGAACTAGTTAACAGGTAGATTGTGGCTATTGAGTCAATAAATTTTACCTGGCCAGAAAGAACTAGTTAACAAGTAGATTGTGGCTATTGAGTCAATAAATTTTACCTGGCCAGAAAGAACTAGTTAACAGGTAGATTGTGGCTATAGAGTCAATAAATTTTACCTTGCCAACATTTTGAACCCCAAGCTTGGACAACATTTTCTGTGCCTGTAATTAGAAAAGTCATAATTGTCTTCAATTCTCTAGTTACAAAAAATAAATTACTCATAAATATCTCCCTAACAAGTTTTTCTATGCACTGCAAACAAACCAATTAATTATCCAAGCTGTTTTTCATGTAATATAAAAAGCTTTAAATAGCTGAGGTGTGTATATCAGGAAAACTTGCTTTTTTGATAATGGAGGTAAAATGTAGAAATTGGCACCATTAAACTTGTGTAAATATTTTAAAATTAAACATTGACAAAAAGTTTTCACTTTGAGAGTAACACCTAACACCCATGCCATTTTTAGCTGAGATTGCTTTGAGAAAAGCATTCATTCATTAAACAGCTAACAGTAGATAAGTTGGTGAAATCAGCCAATAAAAAGGAAATTCAAAATAATCTATATTTAGAAGTCACATGATCACTACCAGACTAAAGGCTGTTCGGCAACGAACAAAAAAGGTTATGATCATCAAAATGTAACTTCTAAATCTTCCTAGCAATTTGAACCTAATTTCAGTTTAAATTAGGCCTCAGGACAATCCCTGTTCTTTTTAAGATCATTAGCATTGTTGTGTGTACTTGACCTTGGGCCCAAGACTTTGCCTTTAGTAATTCCTTATATACAATGGTTTGGTTTGAAGGGAAACTTTACTTTACTTTTTTAATATTTGACAAGATCCAAAGTTCAGGGAGGAACAGAGGAGGACATAGACTATGTGTGTCTATGTCTACAGACAAAAGAGAAATGGACTCCTGGACTGCCCACTTCACTTAGCCATAGACTAGACTTGTGTTAAGAGTTTAAGACCTTGGGATGGGTTTAGAAAAGGTACAAACAATTTTTTAAATGAGCCTAGCCTACAACAACCAATACAACCACTAAAACTTGATCTTGTAAACAAAAACATCTTTCTTGAAATAAACTAGGCCTAATTAAATCTACTAAATTTAATTAGGCAGATTCTAGCCGGAAGAAGATGCACATAGCACTACAATGACCTGGATTTTCTTGTATTCTAAATATTTGTTGTTTAGGCCTATGTGTTGTCTTAATGGGACAGGGATTAACTTGATTAATACTTGGGTAGTTGATTTAAGTAGGCTATTAAAATATTTTTTTTTAAATGTTTTTTTACTTCACTTATAGACTAGATCTCTTAACTAGATATCTACTATAACTTAACCCTTTATTTACGGAATTAGGTTCTAAATGAAATTTTGTCTTAAACAATGTGTTATCATATTGCTTTTGGCATACTTAAATTAAAGCATATGTCGAAGGAAATTTCATTTCAAAAATCTTTAATGGCCCAAACATATATTGGTACTTAAAAGTACCATCAGGAATGTAGGACATTTTTTCCAAAGAATAAAAAATATGTATAAAACAGGATAGCCGTAGAGGCCTACTGTTTTATGTTTACTGATTAAAATCTACCATATAGATCTATATTATATGCAGAAGTATGGACTATTACTAGTAAATGAGAGTTATTGTAGGCAAGACAGTTAATTGCAGTAAATATAACTAACAAATTAAATCTTACTACTAGAACTAGATATTGGTATACAAATGAAGTATACTAAACCTAGTAAATGAGCCTGCAACTGCTACCCTTATTCTTCTTATTATTTTACTACTAGAAATCAACATGTAATTACAATATTTCTTATGTAAACCATATGCTACCCTTCTCATGAATGTGGAAATATCATTTTTTGAGTACATTTCGATAATTAATTATCAAAATAGTATTTATGTCACTTCATATAAAAAAATCTGCCATTTCCTAGAAATCCTAAAAAAATTACAGTGTGCCCTGATGGTACTTGTAAGTCCACTTGTAAACATCGATCTAATACAAAGACAATTTGATTCAAAATGTATAACTAGAGGTTAAACACATTTGCCTGACTATTGAATGTGCCAATAAAAAATATTTGGGGTTGAAAACTTGAAAAATAAGGGAAACCACAGGGAAATGAGGAATGTGTGTGAGAACTGTACAGAACAATTGTGAACTACCGATACAGCAAGACATTGAAAATGGCGCCACACCAGAAATTTAAAAAAAGCATCAATCCCTCCAACAACCGGTGACTCAGGGGTGATAATACTATTAATTACATTAATAATTTTTAAAATTCGTATTAAATTAAAAATAATACAAGCACTTAATTAAAGTGGTACGTATAAGTACCGCCAGTAGATTAAGGGTTAATACTATGAATCTGAAGCACAACAGCTCAAACACACTGTACAGATAGTTTTAATAGTTTTATCAGAAGAATGAGACTAAAATGGAAAATTGATCCCATTGTAAAGCTAAAAAAGGATAATTTGAGCCCAATGCTATTAATAGTATTTAATTTGAGCCAAATTGCAAATCTATTAAATTCATTGCGTTCTTTTATCTTCTGCCAGCCAGACTAGCGCTGTAGGGCAGAAACTTCTTCCGAGTAGTTACTTTGATTTAATTTTAATTAGGAGTTAAGGCCAAAATGGGGCTAACTTATGCCTATCTTTTCTAATTTAAATCTAAAGTTTACTTAATTTGAGTAGACTTTACGAAGCCTTTAGGCCTTAGACCTATTAAAATTTAAATATAGCCTAAATAAAAAGTATACAGCTAATAAATACTATAGGCATAAGTCTTATGAAGTTCTCTAAGCAATATATTATATTGAATAGGACCTAACAATGAAAATTTTGTTTTACCTTCACAACAATCTTTACATTACTTGATTACTTTTAATTTTAAATTAGCCTACACTATAAAAAACATGCTATGCAGTATGCCAAGTATTCAGTGTACCATACTGCCATACAGTAACGACGTTCCCAGCGTCTGATACAATTTTCTCTATTTAATTCGTTGTTTTTCAGAATCCAAATTTTTAATAGCAAATCTAGGTTATAATAATGCTTTACTTCTTGAAAGGTGACTCATTAAATTTTACTAATTATTTCACATTTTTATGAGGATTTATGCTTTGAAAGTTCAAAAATGTTTCTAAGTTTCACTCATGTACCTGTTGTTATACAATTGTATTAAAACTTATCAGTAATAAATAAAGACTGGTGATGTTTTTATCAGATGCAACCAAGCTCATTTACCTTAACAGTTAGCAGCCATCTTGTTTAAGTTTTTTTTTGGTAAAATTATATTTAGAAGAAAGTCAGGGGAAACCACTCTAATTTACAGATGGATGCTGTTTATGGACATTATATAGCAAATCTTGCTCACAAACACTGCTGTTTAAAGTTAATTTCTGGCCTCTATTGATATATCTATGATTTTGGTGTATTATTCAGTAATCTATTATATTTTACGCAAATATATCACAATATACTTGTATTGTATTACTATTAAACTTTAAACCAAATAGCCGTGGTCAATTTTACTCACCTACCTAACCATCATTAGTGTCCTAAAATGATAGATTACCTCTATCGTTTTAGGTAGGCCTTCGATTAAAGTTAATTTCTGGCCTATATTGATATACTATTATACTTTAGGCCTACTTATTAGCCATTGATTTTGGTTTATTATTCAGTTAGGCTATTATAGATCTAATATTAGACACACATATATCACAATATAGGGTAATCTATCGCTTTGTACGTAAAGTCGGCAGCGGCTAGTAATGTGTGAAAAAGTTACCTCCATTGTCAAGGCTTTAATAGAAGTATATTGTGAAATATTTGTGTCAAATATTATAGATAACTTAATAATAAACCTTAATCAATGGCTAAATATATTAATATAGGCCAGAAATTAACTTTAAACAGCAGTGTTTGCTAGCAAGATTTGCTATATAAACAACAGCCATTTGTTAAATAGAGTGGCTTTTCCTGAATCTCCCGCTATAAGTTTAACAAAATAAAACTTAAACAAGATGGCTACTATAGTAAATGAGCATGGTTGCATCCGATGAAACCATCGCTAGTCTTCATTTATTACTCAAAAGTTTTAATTTAATTGTTTAAAAACAGGTACATACGCCTAAATGAAACAAGGAAACATTTTTGTTTTTTTTTCAAAACATAAATCATCATCAAATTGTGAAATGATTATTAAAATTTTAGGAGTCACCTGTTTTTCACATTACTAGTCGCGGGCGATTTTACGTACCTAAAACGATAGATAACCCAATAATATAGTAATGTAGTAATTGTAGTTCTATTAAAATTAAACTTTAAAGCCTTAACAAATGAGGCAACTTTTTCGCACATTACTAACTACTAAAAACTAGATCTAGCCTCTGCCGATTTATCATTTTACGCACCTAAAATCTAAAACGATAGATTACCAAAAGGCAAGGCCCTAACTAAAAACTATTAATTATTTAATATTTAGGCCTATTTAGCAGTATTAGTAGGGCCTAAATCAAAATCTAGACTTAGATTCTACTAGTAACTGGACTAAATCTAGATCTAGACTAGAATCTACTAGGCCAGGGGTCGGCAACCTCGAGCGGCATGCAGCTCTTTTGGTATCCAGTTGCGGCTCTTCAGCTCCATGCACAAATATTAATAATTATTTTATTTTATTTTCAAAACTCATAAAAATATTAGTCTGCAACACTCGGTAATAAACGATATAACAATAGATATAAACAATAAACATTCACTATTATATTATAAAATTTAGTTACTCCCTATCTCAATGTACTTCCTATTACATTGTCCATTCCGAATTGAAATGTTCAACTTCATAGTGGATATCACAAAGAAACTAAACCAGCTAATGATTAGTTTAAAACTGAAAGGAAAACCCGGACTATGTCTTGCTTGAAGAGGTGGTTTGTTTCGAAAAAAAAATACTTTTTTGTTGAATACATAATGAGCGGTAAATTACAAAATTACGAAAAATCTGAAAAAATGCTACTATTCAATGACTTCAGCATTAATAAAAACAAAATGAAGGATGTTTTCACTGAGAGATTTGAGCAATTCAAAACAAATGCAAGTACTCTGACTTACATAGTTTCTGT